TTTTTTGCACATTAGGTACATGGAGTACTTCCCTCTGCCCTCCAACACCAGTTCAGATTACTACTTCGAGAAGAGTGCCAACTACTTTGACTCTGACGTGGCCGCTCAGCGAGCCGCAGCCCTCCTGCCCAAAGCCAAGATCGTCACCATCCTCATCAACCCCGCAGACAGAGCATACTCTTGGTACCAGGTCAGTCACTGGCAACGCTAACCCAGATTAAATGTCTCTGCATGTGCTGTTTTAAATAACATCCCGTCCACCTTCAGCACCAAAGAGCCCACGATGATCCGGTGGCGTTGAAATACTCCTTCCATGACGTCATCACTGCAGGCCATGACGCTCCACTCAAACTACGGGTCCTCCAGAATCGCTGTCTGGTGCCAGGCTGGTACGCCATCCACCTGGAGCGCTGGCTCAACTACTACCACTCCAGCCAGGTACTGTGTGTTTCCATGCACATTGTGGTGAGGCTTGTGCCATCCTTACCAGCAGTGCTTTAAATCCTATTGAACATGAGGAAAATGACCTGCCATCGAGGGAAACTCTTTAGTTTTACCTGCTCAGCTCCTGTTTCTGTTCTAATATTTGATTCTGTTTGTGTCTCGCTCAGCTGTTGGTCTTAGATGGGCAGATGCTGAAGACGGAGCCTGCCTCAATCATGGATAAAATCCAGAAGTTTTTAGGCCTCGCCAACATCATCAACTACCACAAGATCTTAGCGTGAGTATCCTCCTCCGCTCTCAATCCCTCACAGTTTAAAGTCTTCAACTGGCAGATTTACAAATTCATTTACAGAGTAATTTATAACTTTAGGCTCTATGGGTTAAATTAGCTGTTGTTTAGATCTGTAAGATCCTAATCACTGGAGTGTTTTCCTAGGCCCATGGTATAAATTATAAAACCATCAGTGTGCCACAGTGTGCTCCCTGTCTTTGTTTTGTGAAGGAAATACACGATGGTTATATATGAAGTAATCATGTATGTGATTTAAATCAGGAGTCACTTACAGATGAAAATTTGTGAATTAGAATGAAATTGAATTTATTGTGAACAAAGGAATAGACTTTAGTGTTCAGACTCCAGCAGGAAGTAGAACAGCATGGACGCAGTTAAATTAGGTTCTCTGGGGTGGTGGTGGTGATGAGGGATGGAGCACGTCTTATGACGGCTTCTGATAAGATGACTGAGTATCAAGAGTTGAGGTCGAGGTGGGTCACTCAAGCCCCTTTTCCACTGGGTCAAAAAAAACACCAAACACCTGCTAACATCTGCCTTCGTTTGCAACGGGAATGGATACAATCAACATTCACTCTCGGGTAAAATGACTCTGTAGTAGACGCAGATTTTAATCTGCAAAGATCAGCAGTGATGGAAATGTGACACCCGGGTGAACCCACTAATTTGACAAGACAACGAGGTGAGAGAGCATCTCAGTTTTTGGTGAGTTTGTGACGTGAAATGTGGAAAACCCCTCTACAGGTAATTGGAAAGGAGTAAAAGGACATTTATAAAGCCTGAATATACCTGTTCATTTTGGTGTCAAAGAGGTAAAAGTGACCACAGTACTGAGCTGACAGCTGAATGACAGGATGGAGAGAGAGAACAATTTCAAATGTGACAGCTTACACGTCAGGCTGTGATTGGATAAAAAGGGCGAATGAGCTGGGAGCCTAAGATGGTGGGAACTGTTCATGTGACTTAAGAGGCAATACTGAACTATTTCTTGACTTCATTATTTCTCTTTTGTGTACAGGTTCGATCCTAAGAAAGGTTTCTGGTGTCAGCTGCTGGAGGGAGGGAAGACCAAGTGTTTGGGGAAGAGTAAAGGGCGCAGGTACCCTGACATGGACGCTGAGGTAGGATCCTTAACAAGAGATATATCTTATGTCTTGATATTTTGCCTAAATGTTATTTCTTTGGCAGAATTCTTTGATTTCATCTTGCTTTTTTTCTCCTTCAGTCCCAGGGGTTCCTCAGGGAATACTATAGGGATCACAATATTGAGCTGTCAAAGCTGCTCTACAGGATGGGTCAGCCGCTGCCCAGCTGGCTCAGAGAGGAGCTGGTCCACACCAGGTAGCAGCACCACGTAAGGGGCAGCCATCAGCTCAACACACTGAACCACTGCTTCTCCCTGCTGACGGACACGGGCCAGGGAGTCCTGAAATGTTGAAGATTCCAAACAGTTTTGAAAGAAATGGAAATAATTCGACAGTTGAGGATGGGACTCCACACGAGAACTCAACACTTTTACTGTGATCTTCCCAAATGAAACTAGCAAACAGTGGAGGCTGAGCTAGAGGAGAGCGCAGCTGCTTTCAGCGGCTGACAGCTCGCGCCTTGAGAAGCCATTGGTACCCGGTGGTGATCATGGCGGCCTCCACTGTGTCCTGAAGGAGGAGGGACCTTCAGTGTTTGATAATCACTTCCCTGCTCTTCTTTTCTTCGCATGAACTTCCTCCTGAAAATCAGAGTGAGGGATTAAAATGTCTGAAGCTTGAGCAGTCAGGAGACGTCACCTCTGGAAAAACAGGGCGACGAAAGAGAATCGCCATTGTCTCTGGCTATGAGTTGCGTTGTTTGGAGCTCATGAGAACACGCTAAGTAACAGTGACTAAATGTAAGAGAGCCTGGTTTACTAGAGAGACATTGGTTGCAAATGCCTTTGATATATGTTTTTATGAGCGGAGAATGGGAGATCTGGCGTCTTGACTCAGGCTGCATGTTGTAGCCTTACTTGATAGGCCTTGGTAGAATCTAGTTATCACATTTACAAGTGCCAGGAGAGAGTCTTTATTTAACTATTACCACATGGAGGTCTGAGGGGTTGTTGGTTTTTTTTGGATTTTTTTTTTTTTTTCTTTTCTTTTCTCTGATTTCATTTTTAATTCAGACAGCAATGCGTTATTGTAGAATGTACCACAACTAAACATCTTAGTTCCGTTTTCTCCCTATAGGCCACATGTACTGTACAGTTAGTTCAACTGTTCACCTCAGCCGTCTCTTAGGTCACTTCCAACTGAATTGGCTGAAGCCGGAGCAGCAGGATGGACGTCGAAAGCACAATATTTAAGTGAAAATGGACTCTGAGCATATACAGGTTACGGGAAAGCACACTAACTAACAAAACCGGCTCCAACTATAATCTGTGAAGAAGATCATAAGCTAGCTACTGTATGTTTAATCCAAGCCCTCTGGTTCAACAGATTCAGACAGTGTACAGAACAAGATTATGCTTCTCAAAATCCCTTTGCAGCATTTGGGTTTTTGTCAAAAACTGTATATTTTGTCTTATATTTTATTTCTTTTACTAGATGAGTTTTTTTTGTTTTGTTTTTTTAGAGGAGGGGGGGCTGTCTCTGGGAAAAACATGTAAAGTTGCCAGGCAAACCAACAATGTCCCCGTTCGGATGTTAGGTTGTCGGTCAAGGTGTTACCACTGCAACTAGATGTCAAGCATAGATAACAAGAAGCTGCTCTTACTGCAATAGTTTTGTACAATGTTCTGATGTGATAACAAATGCACATGTCGGTCCTTTTTATTTCCTGACTTTGTAATGTACATATTACGCAAACCCCCTGGGTAGACCTAAATTATTGAATGTGTTTGGGTTTACGCTTTCCATCGGCCCATTCCTCTAGTGTGAAGCGTCAGTGCTGTGCTGAGGGGAGTCTGGATCGTTTCGTGTGTCGATAAGATTGTTTCCTCTCATGTCCTCTCACTGCCAACTATTGTACAGAGGTACTGAGTCTCTCCATATAAAGTATTAAGTGATAACACATAACAGCAATGATGGTACTAATCTCCTGGACTGTATGATAAAGATTTGTAATTGTTGTCAATAATTTTTACAGTGTAACTAATATTGTCGGTGCTTTTTAATTTGCAAATAAAACACCACTGTATTTTTCAGTAGTTCGTCTTTGTCATCTAAGTTGAATTCAACCCAATCTTTATTTGGCTTAATGTCTTCATCCTATTTGTTTGTGAGCAAGATCTTTACAAAGACAACTGAAAAGATTACCATGGAACTTGGAGGAAGGATGTGATGTTAGTCAGGGAAGGAACCATTCATTTTTGGTCTTGAGGCGAGTCAGGGGCCGGATCCAGGATATATTTTTTTACTTTCTTTTTTCAGTTTTTCAATCTTTTCATTATTTACTCAGGGAATAATTCATAGATGATTCATTGATTGAATTTAAGGAGACTGTTAGGTTTGCGCTCCCTGTGTCATTCTAGTTGATTGATATTGAATTGATTGACCATGACTATGTTAGGAAAGAAACGAGCAAGAGCTGCTGCAACAGGCTGCCACTAGCGATGTGATTTGTAGAAACTTCTCTCTTTTCTGCTGCTTTGCTTGATAGATTCTTGTGTTTTGGTTTCACTTCCTGACGAGGTAGTTCTGGGAAGAAAATAACAAATTCAGAAGAAGGCTAGGCCGTGTTTGTTCATCATAGTGAGGGCGAAACAAATCAATCAGCCAAACAAGCAATCCTCCTGTTGTAGGCCTGGATTACTATGATTATGAATATAGAAAAATAGAAGTAATTCACATTATGGTTACTTACTACTGATGTGTATTTTAGTCATGTGACTGGCCTTGATGGTTTATTTTTATTCCCTAAAATGTCTTTGTAACTTTGCCAAATACATCTATTTCTAGTATTTATATAATATATGTGTGTATTTTATATATATATACATATATATATATATATATATATAGTAATACACTTTCAAGGTGTTAATCTTATCTTGTAACAGTATTTAATTATAAAATTATTAAACTTACATTTATTATTTCATCAAATAGACCATAGGATCATAGAATCAGCACAGACACTATATGATAAAAGTCTGAAATACAGGTTGTAAATAAACCTCGGCTCCTCTGCCTGTTTTCTGCCTCTATCAACAAGTGATGCTGTTTCGATCTGACCAATCAGAGCTCACCCTGTCACAGCTCCACAGAGCCATCCCACAACAGAACTTTATAACAGAGGGACTTTCCACATCCTTCACCTTTCTGAAGAACCTGTCCACTGCTCCTTCCTCATTTTACAGACAGTTTATTAGTCTGACCCGTTGGATTTTGCTCCAGTTTGTTGCTGTGAAGAAGCTTCAGAGATTCAGATGGACCAGGCTGACAATGAAGAGCGTCCCCAGGCCAGAGGGAGTCTGGCAGGCAGTGAGGATGCCCTCATAACACCTCATGCAACCAGGAGGTGAGAGGAACCTGTAATGTAAATATTCCCATAACAAGTGCTGCTTGTTTGATAGTACCATTGAAAAACAATTACTGCAATAATAATACATCAAATTGAAATAAAAGAAATAGAACAATAAAATCAAATTAACTCTTAAGTTTTGCACCCAGATATTATCTTATGTTTTAGGACAGACTTGTTATTCTGTTACTACTTTTTATTGGTTGACACATTTACCTTAAGGCATCTTTATTTCCCTACTTGAGAACTCCTTCGCACCAGGGGAAGTTGTCTACCTAGTAACTCATGATGCTGCTGTAATCCTATTGGTTCATAATTAACTGCAGAGAAAAACTGTCGTTTCAGTATCAATCCTGATCAATGTTAATAATAATAATAATAATGGCTTGCATTTATAAAGTGCCTTTGCTTATGTCTGTGAGAACAAAACAGAAGAGAAAGGAAAAAAGTAATCGTACAAAACAAGATGGAAATAATCAGCAGGGTGGAGCTTTAACTGAGGCCCTAGGCCTTAGTGAAGAGGAGGTGCTTGAGGAGCTTTTTGAAGAGGTTTAAAGATTCTGCGTTGCGTATTTCCTCACGACAATGAGAGAAAAACAGAACTAACTCACAAACGTCCTAATACATAGTGAATGGACAATGCATAGAAGATATATTGTATTTCCGGGTTGAAGTTTCATTTTTAATTTTACTGCTACTATATAAATTAATGTTGTGACCTCTTCCCTTTTATGAGCAAAAAAATAAATTTACAATTGTTCACATACTTTAAAGAGGCTCAGCAAATCACCTGGATGTGTTCTCTCCTCTATAAAACCAGGATCATCTGCCAGGTAACTAGTGACACTTCAACATCCTATTGGTTGATTATCAACAGCATAAAATATATTGTATTCATGGGTCAGGCCTTATTTTAGGAACCATTATGAAACTTCTCTATTTGTTTTAATATTCATACAAGGGCCTCTTTTGTGTATGCCGGACTGTGTAAAACCAAAACCAACCATTCATGCTTTACACACCATACAGAAATCCCCTCAGCATCACTTTTAAACCTTGGAATGTTTCCTAAAAGGTCAAACCCAACATAAGTATCTTTCATCTTTGTCCTGCTATCCCCCCCTGACTGCGTCATCCTCTTTTGGTCACATATTTGTATTTTTCCCTCACTTCATCAGGACCTCCAACAGTCGTGCGTTGAAGGTGGCAGGCCTGACGACACTGGCGTGTCTGCTGGTGGCCAGCCAGGTCTTCACTGCCTACATGGTGTACGGCCAGAAGCAGCAGATCAACTCTCTGCAGAGGGACTCGGAGAAGATGTCCAAGCAGTTGACTCGATCCTCCCCAGGTAAAGGACGTCATCAAATGACCCAACACACTGTAGTTAATGACACAAATGCGATGCGTCATTATCAGACAGTTTTCCTCAGAACAGGGGAACAGGAGAAGGGGGATGTTGGAATGACGTGGAGACAGAAGTGAGACTTTGATTTGAGGAACTTGATCTGAATGACCGACAGAGAAATGAAAGTTTTACTGATGATTCATACAGGGGAGAAGTCATGTGTTTACTGCATTAACTTGATCTTTTAATTATAAGAATTCAGTTTGTGTCATATGTAGTCCCCCCTTATACATCTTTTATGTGTGTATCTGTTAATTATCCAGCATTCAACACATCCATTGGTTTCTTCTTCTTCTCAAATGTTATATGCATTTTCCATGATTCTCAAAAATTCTCAATTGTCCCATTTACTGTCTTTTTTGTTTGCGTTTTGTTTTTAAGCTATGAGTCGAGTGAGGATTCCCATGAACAGCATGCCTCTGCTGATGGATTTCACTTTGGATGACAGCAAAGACACGACAGCGAAGACATTCGTGAGTTTTTTTTAACTGCTTACTGGGACCTTTTTATATTTAGTTAAGTTAATCAATCATTTAAAACCAATTTTATTTATACAGCAAATATTCATAAATCATAATTTGACTGAAATGGAAAAAAAGAGGGGTGAGGAATCCCAGGATGGACAGAAGTGCAATAGATGTTGTGTGTAACAGAGGACAAGAATAATTTCAACACAATTGTATCCAGGTGCTCACAGACATGTTGAAGAATAGATGGTTGTCCTGGCTGGTGCACGATGAACGTAAACTGAATTATCTGACTCCTCTGTCCTCTCTTATCTCCTATCAGAATCTTGAGGACAAGTCTGAATCCTCCACGTCTCTGCCAGGTAAATGCAACTTCACTCATGTTCTTGTCCACTGGTGCTGTGATGGTACACATTACATTTCCATCATACAGCAGCACAGGATGTGATGAATTACTGGGACAATATTAATGTTATATAGAAATGCTGAGTGCGTTAACAAGATGGATAATTCTTACAATTGTTTTCGTTCGTTTGGTGCAAAAAGGTGAACCACATATTATTTCTGCTGCTGGTTAATAAGTGCTTTATAAAATATATGGGAATCAAAAAAGCACAGAACAAAATGAGACAAATTTAAAATAAGAAACAATACACATCTATTAAAATCAGGCATTAAAAGGCTTTCCTATAATATTGTGTTTTAAGCAATAATTTGAAAAAAAGGGAAAGTGCTAGCGAGTATAGTCTCCTCATACAAGGGATTTAAGGTCAACCTTAGTTACCACTCTTGATGTAGAATCTACTCTACGGCTTGGAGCTAAGAAGGTTCTGATGATGATCTGATGAGATGACTGGACCATGGATATGAAGACTAGAGGTGACAGTGAATCACTGAAATGTCAGCTTACAGCAATGGGAACAAGAACACAATTAAAGTTGGACGGCAACAACATGATTGGCTGATAGAGATCATGGCCACATGTGATTGGATTACCGTAAACATCCAACAGTCAGCTGATCAGAAGAGAGAGTGAAGGAGAATTGTGAATGAATGAGACATAGAGAAAGTCTTCCTGCTCCTTTAGTCCTGGCGTGAGAAGATGTGAATAAGCTTTTCTATGTCAGTTAAAGACAGAGCTGGTGTGAGTTTGGCTCCGTTTTTCAGTTTAAAGATTTAATACAGTTATTAACACAACCTTCAAAATTCAGCTGTGAGTCAAATGTGATACTGAGGTTTCTGGCTGTAGATATAACATAGTTTGCCACTGGACAAATAAACAGCTGTAGTAAATCCACCTTTCTTAGCCTCAAAGCAATAGTTTGGCCTTTTAGCAAATATGCTTATTCTGTCACAGAGTCATGTGTGAATACTAGTAACCAACCCCTGTCTTACATTTTCCATTCAATGATCTCACTGCAAACATGGACACAGTCAAACTATTGCTTTAATTCCATTTCTTAATCTCCACTTCGCTTTCCCTCTCAGCCATGACCAAATGCCAGACACAAGCTAAACCTATTCCCGGGAGGTTCGGTGCCTACCAGCCACAATGTGACGAGCAGGGCCGCTACTTGCCCGCCCAGTGCTGGCCCTCCATTGGCTTCTGCTGGTGCGTGGACGAGGAGGGCACCCCAATCCCGGGCACCAACGTTCGCGGACACCCTGACTGTCCCAAAGGTAGAAGACACCGATTAAAGGGCTTTTGATTCAAGACTCCATCTGTTGCTTTTCATGTGAGGCTCATGAAAGCCACTTAATTGCCCAATCTTTTGTCTCTTAAGGTGTTCGCAAGAGTATGGTCACTTCCAGGCTGATTGGCACTGATGGTGAGGGCCTCAGAGTTTAATTCATACATATGGAACAGTTTGGTAGTTTGATGGGATCAGTGTTGTATGTTTATTCTCAGTGATCTGTTGGTTGCTACACGTCATTTGTTGTGTTTCTAATATCCCCAGGTCAGTGAACCAAATGAAACAAAGTCTGCAGCAGAGTGTTTCTTCTCTTCAAGCAATCATATCAGACATGAAGACTCAGTCATTTAAAGCTGGAGGCGGCTCTACTACGCAAGTCATTTACTTTCATGTAATCTCTGGATTTTCACTGCTTCTCCTTCTGCTTGAAATTAAACCAAAGGCCTGTTACAGTGTCAAGATTTTAAACTTTGTTGATTTCATGAGATTTATTTAGAGTTTTCTCTCTCTGACAATTTAAGGTAGATGTTCATATAATCTGTAGCAAATTAAAGTGCATGTGTTTTGAAAAATGTTTAAATATTCACTCGAATAAAAAAAAAAAACACCTTCTCTCAACGTCCTACACCATCATCCATTCACTGAGGTCGCTCTGGTTTAACATGTTATCTCTGAGATTTCTGCTTCTAACCATTTAAACATTATTTTTGTTTATTGGTGCATACAGTAATAAAAATTTGCATTTAACAAATAAGGCTCTTTAGAAACTATGTCCACTGTTGCTCTGATTATCTTTCAACCTCATATTCAACCAATTTAATGATGTTCCCATTAGAGTGTGGATACCTGACCCGATGGGACAGGTCGAGGACAAAAAAACATTTGATTGATATTTGGGTCACCTTGGGTTTGGACAAAAAAGAAACCGAATGCCTGTCGGGTTGGGCAACTCGAGCCTCACTCTAGTGTACATACAGAAAGTTACTTTAATATAAAGATGTTTGTGTTAAGATTTGCTGAATAAAGTTTTCCAAACAACACTGTCTTCAAACAAAATGTTGACCCCTCCTCTGGTGGGAGCTTGTTGCTCATGTTCTTTAGGGATACATCTGCCAGCTGAGTTTACGTTAATGGAGTGTTATGTTGGCGATGTCATACAAAGATCTGACTGGAAGAGTTATTTCGAGGAAATATTCAGTCATGCATGTAGAAAGTACAACACATGGTCATAAACAGCAAAAGTGAATACGGATAATAATGACGATTTTTATTGTCTTAGGTTAAGGTAAGTAGTATGTCTCTAGGAAGTGTGTGTGTGTGTGTGGAGATTCGGTGTGAAGCTCAACACTGGAACACTACAACCTTGCTCTCCTCTTCGTTTGATGCAATTTATTGGCTCACTGTCGTTCCTGATTTATTTTTGCTAATGTTCACCTCTCCACCTCTCTTTCTAACAAGGCAGCCTTTATCAAGACTTTATGAGGTGTAACTAATGTCTGAACCAGAATTATTGCCCTGCAGTTGTTTGCCGCCACCAACCAGTCAAGTCACACAAAATATGGTCAGAATCTCATCTGTTTGAGTTGTGACGTTGGAAAATTGTCTGAAAAGAGTTTTGGCTGAACACTATGTCACAGTGTGGGTGACCTTTGGATATAAAATATCATCTCTTTATTATTTTATCCTATTATACATTTGAATCTGCTAGTTAAATCTAAACTAGCAGATTCATTTTTGAGTTATGATCAAATTAAGATTGTTGACATCACAATGACCTTTGACCTCTGACCATCAAATTGCAATATATATGTTTGTACAGAGATTGAAAACATAATATAAGGCTATACTTATAAGGCTTTACATTTTATTAATTATCCATTAACATTTAAAGGTACAACCTTGAAGAACACCAGTTGTGAAAAATGTTAGCAAATTGGACTGTTTGACAATCTGACATCTGAAAATGTACTCTTATTAATGACTTCAAACTGATCTATAGAGAATTACATACAACATATTGACCAGTAATGAAATCATAGTCTGTCTGTCAGTAGGATGACTCAAAAACTGCTGGAAGTTTGGGCATTTTCACTGTTTTCTGGGCAGTTCTTTTCTTTCCTGCATAAATCTCAGAAAATGTTTGGAGCCTATATATCTGATGATGGATCTGAGCTCAATAAATGCAAACATTTCAGAACAAGGAGGTGAATATCCCTTGTATGCATGAAGGTCTTCCACACGAGCCGAATAGTAAGTTGTCAAACACCAGCAGATGTCAGGGATCACCAGCTGATAGTGATCACCAGCAGGTGTTGGGGACATACCATCAGGTGTTTCAGCCTTTTACTCAGGAGACACCTTCTGCACAGGCTGATCAGACCTGGGTGTGTGTCCCCAACATCTTGGGGCCTAGTTGGGTTCTCTCCTCCTGATCCAGAGCCGACGGCTGCAGCGTTTGGTAGTTCTTTGTTTCTTATGATCTTGTGCAGTGTGTGGATTCCTTTACAGCGACCTGATGGTAGATGTTGCAATAAAACCCCTGCAGCGAACCTTAACAATATGTATGTCTACAGTGTGTAGGGGAGGCTTTGGCATAGGGGTCAGAGCGGTCGTCCTCTAACCAGAAAGTTGACAGTTTGATCCCAGTGGTCATCATGACTAGAAAAGCACAGACCATTTACTCTCTGGGTGCTGTTTGAGTAATATTGTAAAGGTTTTCAACATGAATTACAATAAATCGTGATCAAGTAATTCAGTTAGTAAAGTATAAACTGAAATCAGATCTGATGTTGGTTGAATTAAATGAATTAATAATAATAATTTGGTAAGATTCTGCTGAAAGAAAAAGCCAGTTGAGACTTTTCAGTCCGTCTTGGTAACTGAACCCTGATCACTCAGACCAGTGAAAGTGGATTCAGGCTCATTAATAATTCAGTTCTTGTGTAATGAAATCCAGGTGACCCTGCAGCTTGCAGTCATAAGCTCTGGATGTCACTGTGAACATGACTGCACTTGTGAGTACTCTATTATTTTTACAACTGACAAAGTGTGTGTTGGTGAATGAACTGTAGAATATAAGGAGATGAAGTGTGTCATGTTTTCTCATGGGTCTCTCGTTAATCGCTCTGACGTGATCCTCAAGCAGGAGGGAGCTGAAACAGCACGAGTGGGAATCGTACTTAGTGGAATCTCAGGTAAACTGAGAACAAACATGTAAAGCTATGTGAATGTATTATATGCCTTTGCTGGAGATTTGACTTTAAGCTCTTATTTGTGCTGTTAGAGTGTGAAGACGGTTTAGTTATTAGTGAAGACGGACATGGACTGAGCTACACGTCAGGAAGAAATAAGGTAGGACATTTGCTCACAGTCACCAATCATCATTCAGCCATTTGCTTTTCTCTGTAAACTCTCACTGCTGTATTTTTTATTCAGGAAGAAACATCCTTTTCATTTGACCAAGTTGTGAATGTTGACAACATACAGGTACCAAACCTGATTTATGTCAATTCACCAAACTTCTCTCCATCTCTACATCACCTCTAAGTACTGTGTTGTTGGTGAAATCTGCAGAGCGTCCATGCTGAGCTCCTGCAGCCTCTCACTGACTCCATATCTGCTGGTTATAATGGAGCTCTGCTGGTATGTGGAGTCCCCACAGAGAGGATTTGCTCTCTGATTGACCAAAGCATCATCAAACAAGTGAGCCCCAAAATCCAAACTGCACTTCATGTCGACAGATGAGATACTTTCTGTCCATTAATCTTCCTCCTGACTTCCTCTCAGCTCCTGGCTGAGCTGTTCAGTCGCATCTTGTCACAAGAGAAAGAGTTGCTCATCTCTGTGTCGTTCCTTCAGGTTTGTCCTTGCGTGACACAGCGTTGACATAAATTGATACTGAACACAATGTGGTGTGGGATAACTTCTGGTGTTTCTCACTGTCAGTTTTATCCAGATGGCAGTGCAGTAGATGTTCTCAGCCCCGACAGACAGACTTTAAAACTTGTCACACACCCTGTCCTTGGAAGGTGAGTCCATATGATGGCCACCAATATATCAATAAAGATACAATAAACAATCAATAGCATCAGAAGGGTGAAGCTGTATTTTCATCCACCAAGGAAAATGTGTTTTCTGTCCATTTGTTTGGAACCAGGATTACACCAAAACTACTGGACTCTTCCGAGAGTAACAGATACATATTGAGATGGATTATGTTACACTTTCCCTACATAGAATTTAAGTGTATAAAACATAACCCAAGTATGTATATCATCCCAGTCTTGTAGGAGGTTTGTGTGAGGTGTGTGTGTGTTCAGAAGAGGAGGCCTACGCTCTGTATGAAACCTGCAGGGAGACACTGAAGGCCAGAGCAGACTCCATGTCCAACAGGTAGTTCAAATAAACTCTGTCTATGTAATCCTTCAACTGGTTGATCACAACAGAGCGAAGAGTTTTCTGATCGTCGTCATGTTGCTCTCGCCTAAAATGTGTGAACTTGTGTTTCTCCCTCAGATGTAGTTTCCTGTTCTCAGTGGCTGTTGAATGGAAACTTCATCCAGAGGAGGAGGAGTCGGAGGTCTGCCGCAGCCGGCTGCAGCTGTTCAGCCTGGCAGGAGGAGCCAGCAGGACTGACCTCAGAGGGTCAGTTTGAGACTCTCTCACACACAGTCTGTTGCATACTGCGATACCTAATATCTGGATTCATACCAGATTCACTTGCTTGGCTCCATTCCGTGCACTGGTAACATTTTATCATTTAGTGTGTTAAGGATTCATTTGCACATTTGCATCATTCAAGAATTTTGTAGGATCCTCTTCACGTAATAATTGGAAAGATTTTTACCTTTTATAAACATATTGGTATCTGCGTTTGTGTTTGCAAATATGTGCCGATATAGATATTTTATTTTACAGAATAAATAATGCAGAACATTTTATTAACAGTCATTTATAAGAATGTTTATGTAAAATATTGGCATTGGCCCCTAAAAATCCATATTGGTCAGAGCACCTTATGCAGTAATTTGTCAGTAACAAGTTTTTGACATTCACAGTTGAGTTGCTTTATAGACTGTCCAACTGGAGTCTTTCAGATAAATATTCACAGATCCTTACAAAACAAGTGATGCTAGAGGAGGATATATACCAGTCTATTAACAAAAAACTCCAACAGACCCTTTTCATGGAAGACTTTTTGCAGTCGGAAAGACACAGTTCTAGCTAATGAAAAAGTCAGCAACAAAACACAACAAAACAACAGAGCCATTGTTGAAGAGCACCTGTGCTTTTCATGTCAAGTCAAAATTAATTGAAAGCAGCAACAAGGACACATTAATTACTTCACAGACAAAGTTAACCTCACAGTGTTGAAACATCTTCTGACATTCAATCAAATCAATTTATTCATCTGCATAAATGAGCCTTGCAATTTCATGCAGCATTGAAATGAAAAAAATCATTCTCACTTTACAACCCTCCCTGTGTAGCAAACCCATACTGCATACTAATTGTAAGCACTGTTTGAATGTGTGTGTTCCTAAATATACTGAAAACAGCTACAATACAAATAAAACAGCCTTCATTTCTGAATGTGCCATTCATGCACAGAGGAACATGATGAGCTCATCATAAGAATGTGTTGGACTCAATGGCAACAGCTGAATTTTCTCCAGAGTCAGTCCCCTGGTGAAGGTTTTGGACCAAATCTCCTGTGGAGCTACAACAGCTGACCAGCTCCTCCCTCTCCTTCTATATGACGCCTTAACAGGAAACAGTAGAGCGGTCCTGATTTACTGCATTAACCTGCAAGGTGAGTAATCCTAATTTTCCCTAATTTACTATGATGGACATGTGTGTTTCAGTGAAACTCTCTTACCAACCAGGCCTTCTGGATTATGAGACCCCCTCTGCCTTAGCTTTGGCCCAGAAGGTGAGGGGCTTGGTGAATAAAGCCACTGTTGGTCGCTGGAATCCAAGAGCGACCGAACGGGAGATCCGTGATAAAATCATGGAACTGCAAACCCTGATGATGTCACAGGGTGGAGGTGAATTTCAGAACACTCACAGGCTGGCAGAGCTGACTCAAAACCTACAGGTGACTACATGTAACAATACCTACACCACAGCCTATACAAATATATATACTTCTAACAATACCGACACCTATATCTATACTTATAACAATTCCTATATCTATACTTATAACAATACCTGTACCTACTATACCTGTATAATGAGTTAACACCTGAAACACAGTCTGTGGTCTGTCCAACAGATTGTGAAGAATCAGTCATGGGAGAGGAGGAGGGACGAGTCGAAGGAAATAAAAAACAATAGACAGGTCACTTTTCCACTCACACGAGTTTAAAAAAACCATAAGAAATGACATGTGTTCCCAGCCTGATTAAATCAGCTCTATGTTTCTCACTGATTCAGGAGCACGGTCCGACCCCGAACTGCAACTGGCACAGCAGTGATCACAGAGAGACAACTGACACAGAGAGGAATTTACAAGAACAACTGAAACTAGAGATGGAAGAACATATCAGAGGTAATATGCTGCGGTAAATGAAAAACACGGAGACATTAATGATATTGTGTGTTTCTTATATCCCACAGAGGGTAAAGGGAAAGTGGAGAAAGTCCAGGAGAGAGTAGCTAGAATCCAGGAGCTGAAGAAGGCTCTCAGAGAGGAGACACTGAAGAACGGGGCTGTTACAGAGAAATCTGACCTCTGTCAACAAGTAAAGTGTAATTTCTGCCATTTTAAATATGATATTGTAAACCTTTACAGCTGACTGGAAATCATGCCATGCTGTGTGAATATCCTATTAAACATATAAATGAGATTTGTGTGTGCTTGAGTGGGCAACGCACGCTAAGACATTTGTTTTGCCGATTTAATGACCAGTCTCAATTGGAATACAATAAAGCAAAGGAGCGGAGGAGACTACTTAAAGAGGATCATGGGAGATTAATCCAGGAGGAGGTGGAGAAGATGGAGAGAGACTTGGCACAGGAGCAGCTACCGGTGAGATAATGAGATGCCCTTGTTCAAGATTATTCAGTTTGTGATCTATTACAGCTGAGGATGCTGAGTCAGTTTAAATGAATGCAGGCTTAGATTTATGGCGGAAAGAGGAAGTAACTGCATTTGCAACTTAATTCTGTTATTTGCTTGCATTTTTTTTTTTTTGATTTTATCCATTCCCCTGCTAGAATGAGGGGCCCCAGCGAGAGCTGCTGGTGCTGACCAGAGAGAGGCAGGTCCTGGTGATGCAGATGGAGGCCCTACGCACTGAGGCCCTGCAGGCAGAGAGAGATCTGCAGGATCAGTATCACAGACACCAGCAGGAGCTGTGTTGTCTGAGGGAGGAGAGTCTGCAGGTGGGGGTGTTGGATCATATGCTGATTCAAACAGAATTTCAGTTTTTTATTTTATTTGTTAATTTTTTCCTTCAGTGAATCTCATAAATTGTGGAAAATATCAGATTTTTCATTGTTGTCTGATACAAAAAAGCTTGTAAAGCAAGAAGACAGCTGTGACAGATTTGAAAAAGAAGCCTTGGGCTGTTATCACTCTCACACTTAACCAATGTTTATCTGCCTCTCATTTCACTGATCTCCAGGTGTTCAGGGCGTTTCGTCAGGTGAGCGAGGAGCACAGGAAGATGTCAGAGGGCAGATACAGATGTGTGCTGCTGGAGGCCGTGCAGGATGCTGTCTACCTCTCTGCACAGAACCAGCAGCTGCAGGCCGACAACAGACAACTCCACAAAGGTCGGTGTGCGTTTAACCTCCACCAGTGGCTGTAAAATTACAGATACTGATGTAAAATATTAAAGAAATGTTCAGAGATGATCATAAAAATGGTTTCTTTTCTGCAGCACTGGGAGAGTTAAAGGATGCTCTGGCTGTGAGAGCTGATCCTAAGGTTGAACCTTTTTCAAACAACAATGAAGAGTATTCAAAGAGCATGCTTACTGCACATTGTGAAATATAAAACTGTTTCCGAAGAAATTTATTGTACATCGTGTAAAACTATCTTTCTTGTTGGAGGAGAATGTGACACAAAACAGAAAAACATGACAATAGCAGCACTCTTTAGAAAAGTTTTACTGAAGAAAATATGATCTTTACTTGCATTGTTTGACATAATCATAAATTAAACTCTAAAACATGATGCAAATTCTCTTGTGTTGGATTCTTGACTCCAGTTCAGTCCAAGACTCAGAAGGCAGAGAGAGAAAGAAAAATGAAATGTAGATTGTGATGAGTTTTTCAGCTGAACGGTCCTCTAGCTTCATTTGGCGTCATCTACATGTAGTAAAGGTAAGCTGCCAGTGCAACCATAGAAACAGGGAGGAGGAAAAAGGGAGTGAGCTGCAGTCCTAGGGTCGCCCAAGACAACAGAGCATTAACCAGCATGGAGCAGGAAATGACAAACAGTCTAGTGATCCCACTGCCGTGCTTGAGCACTACAGACATCAGCAGTCCGTTAGCTGCCTGCCCGGCTATAATGAGCCAGACTGCCCCCGAGTATCCCTCCAGAAAGCTCTTATCACTCGCTACAGAGGAGAGTGAGGATAGCCCGTTGATGGCCACACCGAATACATAGAGGTAGAGATTCTGCAGGCTGAGCGGCAGCTTCTGGCTCTTCAGCACCTGCTCTGTGTAAACGGCTGCCATCCCTGACACGCAGCAGTACACCAGCACGAGGAAAAGCCCCCAAGCTGTGATATGAAGCCTGGGACCTTCCTCGGCTTCAGTCCTCTCAGGGTACCCTGTATCCAAGCTGCTGTAGCTGTGACACACCCCAGCACCCATGAGGAGCCCCAGGGCTAACCACTGAGCAGCCCGGAGCCTCTTACCTAGGCAGACTGAGTAGAGCAGAGCAGTGGAGGCTATTTTAAGATTAGAGAGAACTTGGTAGGAGCTTGGGTCCATGTAGGCCTGCATGACAACTATCAGGTTGTTGTTGAGGGCGTACAATATGGCAGGGACTGCATAGGGAGCCACGAGGACTAGAGGAGGAGGAGCACGTAAGGCGGATGTACCCCTGGTTAGAACAAGAGTTGCCAGAGAGATGAGGAGCTTAGTTAACTCAATCATGACGACACATGACGAAGGATTGAAAGGAACTCGACCGTCTACTTTGGTGAGAGTGATGAGTGGCGCATGGGAGCCATAGATGACGACCATCAGCCCCAAGAGAAGACCCCACTGAATCCTTTTCACCCAAAGTCTCCTGATCCTCGCCGGGGAACTCATCCCCACATTCTGGATCACGATCATCCTCAGCGATGCAAAATAAATACTTTCTAGTGCAAAACCCCACACTTCAGACCATCTTTTAAAAAAATGGACAACTCTAACTCTAAACTATTTAAATAGAAATTATAATATACTTTAGACGTATCATTCTCTGTATATATCACTTCAGCTGAACAGTAAAAAGCTTAGGAAACATTACTACATATTTTGAAATGACTGATTCTGAATCTAATGGTCTAATGACAGTTGCTCCAGGCAACAAAACCAAGACGATTTATGAAATTTGCTGGACCAAACCTTGTAGGCACAAAGTATTACATTTTGTCTTTGGATCAAACAGTTGCAAGTGAAAAAGGAACAGAGCTGTATTTAACTGAAATATGAAACAAAAATACTAGAAAGAAAAACACCCCAGTCTTTAACTTTGAGTCCCGAATGAAGATCCAGTTATCAAGAAATCTTGAAGATGATCTGTCACAAGCCACTGACAGGTCAGCAGCTGCAACACTATTTCCTCTTGTGTCTGTTTTGCCACAATGAGGACGAGCAGCAAATTACTTTGGTCCTTTTTTCAAGATGCTCATATAATCTTTTACAGTCCTTTCGATGTTGGGCACTTGATAGTTCTGTGCCGCGTATATGCCAGTTAGAGTTCCCAGCAGCACTCCAAGGATGGCAGAGGAGCGTAGCTTGGCAACCACATAGCCGGCCAGAAAGCCCTTCAGAAATGGAGATCCCAATAACGAGCCTCCCTACGAGAGAGAAGACAAACGGTAACTACAGGATTTTTAACAGTGTCCCTGCACAGGACAGGAAATGCAGAAGTATAAAACTGGACACATGGACAGTGCGTGTATGGGACAGAACATTATATTGGCAAAGTAATAAAACAAACAAGGCAAATATAAACATGGTTTGGCATAGAATATGTAAGTTCAGTCGTTAGGGGTCTCCCAGTCAAAACTGAAGACAACTCACCTGAGGAATTCCTACAGAAACCTCGCTCTCCACTCGCCTCTGGATCTCCTCCAGCTGAGATTTGAGCTGTGTCAGATCTCTCAACTGTTTCAGAGGATCCTAGAAAACAGAAGACACGGGGTGTCACGTGTGTGCAGAGCAGCAGTGGAACAACACTGTGACCGAGGGGTAGCTAACGCTGCTGCAGAACCACATACACGTACACCACAGCCTACAGCTAACGTTAATGAACACGAGGAGCAGCAGAGTGGATTTCTCCTAAGTTTCCTCGTTAGCTAACAGCAGCAAAACTTTAGCCTGCTCAGGGATCGACCCGATTCTTTCAGGAGCGACTCGGCCTCGTCCTGATTATTTGTCCCCGGCACAGAACCAACTGTTTCTGGGATGAACCGTCTGTTTTCGGGCCTCTTCCAGAAATTGCTGTCGAGCGATTAAGTGAGGTGAAGACGTTTCAAGCCGGAGCATGGGCGACCACTCACCTTGTCACCCGCCATGTTTGCTCCGTGGGGCGATCTGTGTTCGGATCATTCGGCCTGAAATGCTGCCTGTGCTCGATTAGTTTAGTCTACATAATACCCTGCCCGCAGTTTTGTCTTGTAGGAAGAATCTGAGGCCGATGGAAAAGTTGGAGATTTAAAATAATAATAATAATAATACCACTGAAAAGTATCTGTATTTATAAAGCAATGCCTTTGACCTGGAGAGCGCTTTTACTTATATATGGTAATAGATCGTGCTGTTGTTTCAATCCTCCCTGTACTGCACCGGTTATTCCAGCCTGCCTTGTCATTGTGTTTATTCAATAAATAAAGTCAAGTTAAGATAAGATAAGACTGACATTATTAACAAAGCTGTCTCCAGGAGTACAATGAAAATAAAAAGGTGTCTTGTAAGTAAAAATGAAAATTTAATGTGTAAAACTTGTTTAGAATTTAATTTCTATTTTTACGGACTGGGTTAAAAAACAAACTGACTTCACTTGTCTCTGTGATGTTTGTTTCATTGATTTAAGAAAAGAAATAAAAACAGCGCCACCTTGTGCCCCCGATCTGGACTGTCCGTATTACGGGACGCACGCCGTACTTTCACGTGTCTAAAACGTCTTCTGTGATTGGCCCGCACTTGTTCATTCCTGCCTCTGATTGGTTGAGGGCCATAGCAACGAAGCCGCCATGTTTTGCTGAAGCCGAAGAGAAACGCAGCTTGTTAACAGACTGAAATTCTCCTCAAAGCTTCCTCACAACATGAAGTATGGACACTGTTCAGCTGCAGCTGCCGGCGGGATCATGTCCGAGGTTTTCTGCGACTCGTAAAGGTCGTTGACGGCAGTTCACGAGCCTCGGGCCGTCGTGGGTAAGGCTTCAACAAGAAGGCTTTTCATTGGACAACAGGGGAGCGAACAGGCAGTATAAACACACGCCATTACACCTACTCTGAAAGCAGGGAAGGACCAGTGTGTTTGACATGTTAGGTCTCCTGAAGAGTTTCCAGTTTATCTGATGTTGCTGAGCTGTTTTCTGTCACTCTGTCCTACTTTCAGCAGCTTGCAGCAGCCCATATGTTCTGTATGTCTGTGTGGCTCCTGTAATAAACTGATGCTGCCATTGAAGCAGAGGCAACTCAACCTCAGGCTGTTCACTGCATGGTTTTATTTAATGCACTTCAATACAACACCTTTTGAGATTCTGCCTCCGTGAAACATGACCAACAAACACGATCCCATGCTGTTGTCCCCAGATCTTTGGAAGTCATGGAGAAAGTGGAGGTGTACGAGGTGGAAAGCTGCTACAACCCAGCGGAGGTGTCCACCCCAAAAAAGAGGAAAAGCAAAGCTCAAGAAGACAATGTGGAAAGAGCCAAGAAGCCCAGGTAATTACATCGCCTGTAGGACTTTCACACAGCGCTGTGATGATGTTCACAGCGCTGTGTGAAAGTCTGGAGGGTTTGAGCCTCCGAAAGTCCAAAGCATCTCTCTCATTGTCATGCACTGACAGTACACGTGGGATCTGTGTGTCTTAGGTCTGCCTACCTGCTCTACTACTTTGATGTTCACCAGCTTATGCAACAGGAAGTACCTAATCTGCCACAGTCGGAGATCAACAAGCGAATCAGCGAGAGCTGGAAAAGACTCAGTGTGGCTGAAAAAGCGTATTACCTGGAGAAGGCCAAGTCTGAGAAGGAGGGGCTGGATACAGTAAGCTGCACTGACTTGTTTAATACATATTTACTGACTCAGTGTTGTACCTGTGCAGCCTCTTTTGTCACTAATCCTCAGAATAAAACGTCCCTGTAGAGCACAAATTCTAGAATAGACATGGACAACGATCCATGGTGCGTACACATCCACCCATGAATGTCATACATATCAATCATTCAGATTGTATTTGCTTAGCCTATTTTCACAAATCACAATTAACCTCACTTGGCTTAACAATCTGTACAAGAAGTGTCATCCTCTGTCTTTAACCCTCGACTAAAGGGAGGAAAAAACGACGAAAATATGGCAACACAGGGGAACATGGGAAAAAAACAGGGTGAAAAATAAAGAAACCTCGGTGAAAGTGAACAGTGAGGGATCTCTCTCCCAGGACGGGCAGAAGTGCAGCAGATGTTGTATGTAACAGAGCATATCAACAAAATACATTTTTTAGATCAATCATTAATGATTAAATAAAATCAATTATAATAAAAAAAGCTGTATGAAGCCTGGATTAATAAAGACTTTCTCTTTGTTTCAAACATGTAGATCATATAGTGGTACGGTAATGTCCGTGCTGAGCAGTCAACCCAAGCCAATCTTCTTCAGAAAGGTCTGTGGATGATGGAGGGCTGGTTTTAGTTTTTGCTGCTGAGTTCTTCTCAATGATCAACCACTTCAGTGCACTCGTGTAGACAATAAAAAGGATTTTATTTGTTTTGAATACATTTGGCTCATGCAACTACAGATAAAGTCAGAATGAAGTGACCCATTTCCCTAATTATTACAGCATAGATAAGTCTTCCTGCTGCATCTCTGCACCAGCCTGATTCACTGGTGTACACTTTAATGCCAACACCATTAAATATCAATAGTTATGACCAACCTTGCTGACATTTTATCCTCCTCAGTCCTCGCTCAGCTCCTCGAAAGATCTGCCAGGCTTCCGCAAGATCCTCCCCAGAGCCAGCTACTTCCTCTTGTCCAAAGGCTGCCCCTCAAATCACCAGCTTGGAGGCTCTCAGTCAGAGGGGACTGTGGAGTCTCTGGACCCTCCAGGTGAAGGAGGCTTGCCCTCCGTCTCCCTCGCCCAAGAGCCCCAGTTAACAACTCTAAGTTTTGCCGGTGAGGTGGAACTCTCGGAGCTGCCCATCGCTGTTGATGACATATCAGAGAAAACGACAACAGTGTCTCACCCAACAGCCCAAGGAGTCCCACCTCCTTCCTCTTCCTCTGTCTCATCCACAGCCCCTTCCTCTGCAGATGCCCGGGTCTCCGCTGACCTCACGGCAAATGGGGTCACACTGAAAGGAAATGAGACGAGAGCTGCCAGCAGTGGTTATGGCTGGGCCATGGTGCAACAAATACAGGGGGAAACTACGCAGGTGGTTGCTATTATTCCCTCCCAGGTGAGACTAAAACATATGAAGTGGACATATCTCACCATTTAATACACAAAACACTGCAATTATAAGAATTAAATGATTTTTCAGAATCTACTGGAGCCCAAGGCAGGTGTCGGCTCTGTGGGCCCTGTGATGATGGTCTCTGTTGGAGCCAAAGTGGAACAAAGTGACAAACCTTCATATAAAATGGTAAGAGCCTGTGGTATTCATGCATTTTAGTGATGTCAGCACAGGTCGGCAATCACAGTTTGAAAAAAGAAAAGTAAGAACATCAATATCTATGTGATTATGTCTGAAAAATCTGATAACCCTGGACCAGGATGTTATGTTTTCACCCCATCAGTCTGTTTGGTTTCTTGTCAGCAGGATTACGCAAAAAGTGCTGAACTGATTTGCACCAAACTTAGCTTTGAAAGATAATTTTTTTAGAGATTTTCAAAAATGAAGAATTCATTAATCTTGTAAAAATGATCAAACTACTTAATTACTATTTCACCGCAACAGCCAGTTTCCTGAAACATTTTCAGGTTGTCTGTCCCCCCACTTCCGTGAACACAATATGATGGTATTTTTTCAAATTTTGGACAAATGCTCACTTGGACTAATGGAAGAACTGATTTGACTTTGATGGTTGGAGGTCAGTGGTCAAGATCACTGTGACCTTACACAACATGTTTTCCTTTAGGACATTTCTTGACAGAATCTCCTCAAATGTGTCACAAATGATCAATTAGACTGACTGGAAGATAAACTGATTACACTTTGGACGTCAAAGTTCAAAGGTCAAGGTCAGGGTGGCTTCACAAAACATGTTTTCCTTTAGGAAATGTCTTCACATTTTAATCAGTTGTCACTGGGACTCAAAAATGAACTGATTAGATTTGAGTGGTCAAAGATCAAGGTGACCTCATTCAAGTCTGGAAAAAAACGTGCACTGATTGGCAGAGGGCAGTAATTCTAGTTCTATCAGAGCCAGGCAGGTGTGTGCACTCTATTAAATGCCAGTCTTGTTAGTGTGTGTTGTTGTAAGAGACATGAAGTCGTTTCCCTCCTCTCTCTAGTCTGTGAAGACCTACACCAGGAGAGGTCGAGGGAGGTGTCTGAATCCTGGATGTTCATATGTGTACGTCACCCGCCACAAGCCACCAACATGCCCTGAATGTGGGAGCCGCTTAGGTGGAAAATGGATACCTGCAGTGAGTGTTGAGCCAAATCTTTTAGTATTAGTACAGTGATTTGCCCCAGGCTTTGACCTGCTGTCTATGTAACTCAACTTAAACATATCAAACAGGCAAAGAAGACACAAGAGAAAGAAGCAGCATCAAAGCAGTTTCCACAGAAAGCTGAAACCAAGTCTAATGAGGGCTGTCAACCCACACAGCTCGCTGCTCAAGATGGGAATGCTGATGCCAGTAAAACGAACACTGGTGGGGGCAAAAAAGACGGAAGAGCTCAAGGTTGCTCCAGAAAGCAGCGTGCAGTTCCCCCTGGAAAGCCACCAGAGGGCAGCAGTACCAAGCCACAGGAACAAACAAAGTAAGTGTCCATTAAGATTTAAGCTTTGAGTCTATATAAAAGCTTTTAATGTCATGAATCGTGACTTGTAAACAGAGATTATTCACAATATGCCAGGATAGCATTTGCAGACTGAAGCAGGGGTTAAGTAAATCAGTTTCCGTGTGTCTAGATAATTCATATGATAAATCTACACTTTTTTTCTATCTCTCTGCAGACCTTGTTCTGTTTATTTAAAAAGCTGGAATGTATAAAAGTGTAGAAAATGAATTGGATAATCAGGCTATGCTGACACCTCGCTGTGTTGTTATAGCAGCTGTTGTCATAGCTTGTATTTAAGCTTGACATACTTCCCTTCTGTTTATTAGTAGACAACTGAATGAAAGTCCCAAACGTGCCACAGTCCAAGGTCAAGACAGAAGCACAGCCAGTGTTCCGAAGAAGCCTGTGAGACCCATCCTCCCTGCCTATTACAGCACAGGTCAGATAAAACAAACAGTTGGTGTCAAAATAAATTGTTAGCATATGGATTTAGATATTGACTTGTGTTTGTGGTTGTAGGGCGTGCTTTGTTTCAGATCCTAACTGTCCCACCTGACAAAGGAAAACACCAGACTACAAACAACAACAAATCATCACCTGGTACTGTGCATCACTCATCTTTCATCCTAATTTCTCAATTTTATCTTTCAGTTGATTTAAGTTTTATCTTCATTATGTTCAGTGCTTATTGTTGGCGTTTGTGAATACATGGAGGAAGTGGAGTGTTTCTTCATTCAGCTGATGAGGTTGTTTTTCTAAGCGCAGCTCCCAGAGAGAGTTTCTCAGGTCTCAAACCCAGCACTTTAAAGCAGCTCGGCCAGACGGTCCCAAAAACCACAGCCAAGCAGGTTAACACACACACACACACACACACACACACACACAAACACGTCAACACACCAACTCAGAGAGAAAACAGTGAAGATGCAGATCTATTCTGGTCTCCTCACTCTCTGCGTGTCTTTCCACAGGATTCTCCTGCATCAGCAGACGGAAGACAGCCTGTTTCTGCTCTGACTGATGGGAGAGGGAACATTCTGTCAGTTGTGCCGTTCAAACAGCACACTGTCTCCAGCTTTGTCAGTACACAGCTATTATTTGTGTAGTCTTCTTTTTTTATCAATGTTCTTTAGGAAGTTGCTATTTTGTCTCGTTTGTTGATGTTTTGTCTTCTCGTCTTTATTCTCGTAGGACCTGGGACTGTCCACGGCGCGAGGCAGGGGCCGCTGTAAAAACCCCTCCTGTGATTACATGTACAAGAACAGACACAAACCTGCGATGTGCCCTAAATGCGGCTGTGAGCTGACACAGAAAAACACCAAGGGAGCAAAGGTGAAAGCTTACGTCTGCCAGGTTTTTCTGAAGTGCAGTTACTGTAAGATTAGTTTCCAGCTCTATCTCCGACCTCCTGACCCCGTTTATGAGCCTCAGCACAACCTTGGATCCCAGAGCAGTTTCCTCTTGGCATTCATAAATCTAGATGTAAGACCAGTGACATCAGGCCTTTGGTGTAGAGTCATAAATCTTTGCTTTTTTTCCCCTGAGGCTTTGAAGAAAGCACAGCCGCTTTTACATTAGAAACACACGGTGTCTTCTTTCTTTGTGTATAATATTTAGTTTTGTAAAGTATTATATTTAGTTTTGCAATAGTGAATATAATTATATTAATCCTGACATCAATCAAATATTACAAATATTATTTTAAAATTTTTCTTTTCTCCTTTTGCCTTTTCTCAGTCTGGGACTCTTCTGGATCCATACCAGGCCCTGAGTCCTGCCCAGAGGGATATCCAGCGGCAAAACACACTGCAGCTCCTGCGCCGTTCCCTGCAGATTCCTGAAAGCGACACAGAGCTTCAGGAAACATTAAACCTCATCCAGGAGCTCAACAGTCTCCAGATCATCTTGGTTCAACCGGCTCAGCAGGAACATGAAGACGGCATCGGGACGGAGACACTGGTTGAGACTGGGTGGCCTCAGTTCTATGAATCAGCAGCTACTCACTGTGGTCTGTGTCACTACCCTCTGTTCAAAGGAGGTCAGAGGTGAGGAAATGGGATAAAAACAAGGAGGGATTTTGATCCATCTGGCAGAGAGGCCAGTGTTTATGTTTGCTGTGACTTTTATATGTTGACTTTTTTCTTATTTCTACTACTCTAATACTTAGTACTGTAGCGGGACAGGAGGACTGTTGGCTGCTGACTGAGACACTGATGCAGACGGCTTCTCTCCAGCTCAAGGTGTGTCTGAACGTTCAGTGTCTGGCTCTGCACAGCTTCACTGACCTGCATCCAGGTAAACACTTATCAGCACCTACAACAACCTGTACATTTTATTTATATGTTTTCACTGTCGTTCGTTGTCTAGCCAGACGTGACTGCAGAGTTTGGTCCCAAAGAGATCCTTGAAAACAGGATATTAGATTGTGGGTACACATCTAGAAATCATATATATATAGAAATCATATATATATATATATATATATATATATATATATATATGTGTGTGTGTATGTATACACCATTTGTAGTGGTACCCTGCATTAATTTAGGTTGGTTGTTTGCAAACCAGGGACAATTTATAAAACTGTTTCTGTTGAGACTTTCCTGAAGTACATCAATTTTCCTGACTGACCACAGGGAGGCACTAAAACCATGAATTGTGTGCCCACAGAAGACAACATCTTTTAGGTAACAACTACAATTTTCTTGAGACTAAGACTTACTCATTTGGAAAATGATGAGTCTTTTCTAATATTTAGCTGATCCGTGTGCCAAGTAAATACTGTCATTATTAGGCCAAAACTGCTGCTATTACATCATTATAATTTAATATTATTATCATAATTTATCTTTAGTGTTTTGACATCATCATGGTTTGTGGGCAGAATACAGTGGCCCCTGATAGCAAAGCACACAAGAAAGAGGAAGTGCAAATATAAGGGAATACAGAAAAACTACAAATAATGAAACACATACAAATACATAAAGCACATGCAAAAAGAATATTCCTGAACCACAAGTGCTCTGGGACAGATTGATGTTTGGATTAACAGCAACAGCTTTATTCAACCACGTTTAAACCTTTATTAAGTTTCAATCGTTTTTCAGGTGACAAAGTGACCGTTTATTTTTTGAATACATGATCAGTTTATTTAAATAATGTCTGTTTGATGTTTGAGCAATTTTAATATTTTACTTTTGGAGGATTAAAATACATTTAAATACGTTATATTATATTAGTCAGTGTGTCCTGGGGGTGAGTCTGAATATGTTCTGTAGCCAATCAATAGGCCACATGTTCTATAGGACAGTTTAACAGGTTTAGCTCGGCTGAAAGCTGAGAATTCTTCTGAACTGACTGAACCTTTAATGTTTCATAAGTAGAAAATATTACCATGGAAGTTTTAGATGGAAAATTTTGTGGATTATCTGTTCAGTTCCACTATATTGGTCACTGATTCTGAGGAGCCTGAGATAAGAAAGGAAACGTTATCGTCCAATCCTCAATATAACAACCATGGAATAACCCATTAACCTTTGGTGTCATTATTTTCATTTTCTTTAACATTGTGAGATAGGGCAGCTTTATTCACAATATCTCAGAGAACAAATAGTTGATTTTGATGAAAAAAAAATCAGGCATATTTAAGGGACTGGTACGTATGAGTGTTTTCATAATGGAACGGTTGGGCCTTGGTGGAGGGATGCTCTCTGCAGAGTATGTAGTTTATTTTTAAATTTTAAAACTAGAGAGGTTCAAATACCGATACCAGCCTCAGAAATGCAAAAAACATCAGGTTCACGGATCGGCAAGTATGCAAATCTGTGTACTGATCCAGTACCACGTCTTTTGAAGTATATCACGTTCACATAGCTAAAACTAAGCTACGAGAATTTGTGCTGTAAGTTTTTAGAAGCGAGAAAGAAGAGATGATTTCTGGTGGTGTAGCATCAGCTAGAGCTAGCTAAAATATCAGCAAATCCTGCAATATTTCATGTTGGAAAGTCCCACTAGTTAACAACAATAACAGTCATCACCTTCATACAAGGTTAGTAGCATACAACTGTTAAAATACATTAAAAAAGCTCAGTTGTAATTTTTTTAAATAAATTGGTTTTGTATCTGTACTCGGTATTAGACGAAAATGCCAACTCCAGGTATCAGAATCGGTATCAGGAAGGGACAAATGGTATCAGAATAACTTTAAAGCATGTGTCATCTAAACACAGTAACGTATGGTTTTGTATTTGCATGAACACGATTAAAATCAGAGACACAAGGAGACATGGTTGATGAGCCTCATCTAACCCACACTCACTCTGCAAATTCAGCTAAAATCTGTATTTTTAGCAAAACTTTACACTTCAGTCTCCATTAGCCACAGTGACACAATCAGAGGCCTGTTTTTATTTGGTTTTTGTTTGTTTTTTTACACTCTGTAATCTTTATCTACCAGTATTGGTGACAAAATGTGGAAAAAAAAAATGTCTGTTCAGAAAGTCTATTTATAATGACGCAGTATTTCCTTCAAGAACCAGTGGCTTTAAGGCTTCAAATTATTTGGCGTGAGATTTGTTCAGGCAGCGTGAGAGCATGAGACAAAGCCTGACAGTGGTCTCACGCTAAAAGCCTGAGTTGGCGCCAATCACTGAACAACAGCGCTGCCTCTGTGGACTTTGGGGTTCTCATATGCACAGATATATTTATTTCTTTAAAAAATAAATATAGATGACATAAACAAAATTGGACAGAGGCAGTGTTGTGTGTGTGTATATATATATATATATATATATAATTTGCTTTATTAGCTTCCAGACTGAACAATGCTTGTTTTATTTATTGGTATGTGTTTTGGTGTTAGTAGAACGTTCTCCATAATATTAGCACTTTCTCTTTTTTGTGTGCTTTGCTTTTCAGGGCGACACTGAAACAAAAGATCACAGAACAGTTTTTATTTCCGTCAACGAGGACATGTTTTCACCCTCTATGTTTTTTTGCTTGTTTGTAAGCATGATTACAGAAAAACACCAGAACGAATTACCACAAAACTTTGGAGGATGTGGTTTGGGTCAGGAAAGCTTTCTTTAACATTTCGTTATAGGGCATTTTCAACAGTTTTCCCAGGGAATGATTCATGGATCTTGATGAAAAATCTAATTTTTGGAACTGATATTTCTGAATATGAAATTTGTTGCAGCTTAATAGAATTTAAAGGGACTATTGGTTGTTGGGAGGCATGTGTCCTTCTAGTTATTTATTTATTTGTTGGTTTTCGACAGGTTTGTTCAACATTGGGAACAAAGTCCTGGTGAGCATCGACCTGTTCTTGAAGATGAGGGCAAATATCAAACTTGGCCACGCCCCCTCTCAGGCAGCCAGGACTTTACTAGACCACTCTCCCAACCACCCCAGTAAATTCTGGATTACATTGCACACACATGAATTCTCCAAATGTCTGTATTTTACAGTGGGTTTTCTATGAATCTCACTGTGACTTTCTTCTTTTGCATCAGTCCATGCACTGAGTCCAGAGGAGTCATCTCAAATCCAAGAGCTTTTCCTGACCGGCTACTGGGCCTTTGAGTGTCTGACAGTGCGAGACTACAACGATATGATCTGCGGCATTTGTGGTGTGGCTCCCAAGCTGGAGATCGCACAACGACACACAAACAATGTGCTGGAGCTCAAGAATGTGGAGGTGACAGATTTACTGCAACATTAGTGCAAAAATTAAACCCAATTCTTACTTTGGCATATTCAGCAGCGATAGCGTCTTACATTTCCCCTGAACTGTTCTGTCTCCACAGTTTACCTGGCCAGAGTATTCAGTCTCCGATGAGGTGCACATGGATGACTTCTGGCTGACCATGGAGAGCGAGGCTATTGAGCAGGCCGCCTTCCCCACCGACATCCCCATCACACGTGTGGATGCCTCCATCATCGCCCCCTTCATCCCCCCTCTGATGAGGAGTCCCACTGTCATCAACACAGAGAAAGACAAGGCCTCGTCAGACACACAGCAGCCCTCAGGTACAGCATCTTAAAGCTACTGCTGAATCATCCTGTCACTGTTGAGCGAATGAACTTTTTACCTACACTAAGGTTGTTATGTTTTCACCCATTTGTTTGTTTGTCTCATCAGGGTGCCACAGAGTCTTAAAACGTCCAAAGTTTAATTTTGAAGTCGTAAATACATTGAAGTACTATGTTCGAGGTTTTAAATACATTTAGGAAGGTCTGTTTCTGTGTGTTGGAGGATTTTCAGAACAATACAGACATTGACAAGCTGTTATAAAACTACAAACAAGGCCAACATTGAACTGTTAACTGTCTGTAGTTTATGAGATCACATGGCATTTCCAGGGTTATTCTATAGGCTACATCACCTTATCTTCAATTATAGGGATGTGTCAGTAGTTCTCAGCTTAACATAGGTCTTGAATTTCATTCATTTAACTTGTTGAAACTTGCATGAGCCCTGTTTTAGCAGAATTAGATTGATTAGAGGATAGGGCTTGAGAGAATCTCATTAAATCTTGGACAGGATGTGGATTATGGGGCAGAATCAGGATGTTTTTTTCACACTTTTTAAATATGATTTATGACAAAACAAATCACTTAGGTTCTCAGAAAAGTTTCCTTTTTTCTTTTTTATATCAATTATAAGAACTAGACAATCATGTGTAGAATTGTTCAGCTTTGGTATTAGTATGTGCGTCACTTTTTTATGCATCACTATTAAAAGCTTTGTTTTGGTTGCAGTGGATCCTCTTTTTAGTGACAGTTTCCATCATGTGTTTCAGGAGATCCATCAGTTTTGGTGCGTCTCATTCATGACGGTCAGCTGCGACTTGACAAGATTGAGGAACTCAGCGAGGACGAGCTAAGAACAATACTGAGTGGCTGCGGGGCAAGCGTCACCCCAGGCTCCACTAAGGTATGTGTGTGTGTGACAAGCATGTGCTTTTGCGCTTATTAAGCTTTCTTGTTTTTGCTTTTGTATGTTAACAATTTGAAGTGAGAGTGAAAACTGTCGAATGATAGGTAGACTAGCAGTGTTCCTGTTGGACCACAGATACTGATCATGTGCTAAGGTGTTGGTTGAAAGAAGAAGAAATCCTGCTCCCGTCCTCCGCATCTTTGATAAGGCTTTGGGCGTTGCTCAATTGTCTCAAAGGTATTTCAGCAAGTCGGTTTACTGAGTTTGGCTAAAATATGTTTTCCTCATCCTTTTCTTTGAATCTGTTTTCAGAAATCAACTCTAGAGAATTGGGCCCAGACATTTCCGGTGGTTTGCCTTTCACATATGAAGAATGCAGCAGGAGTTAGTCCCGGGCACATTCATTGGAAAATGTTCCGAACATTCAGTCGAGGGGTGGCATTGTTCTGAGAAATTAGAGCATGCAGAAAGAAGAACATGACATGTTTTTGTTTACAACACATCAAGACCGGTGTCCTTAACACCAAAATCTTTGGCACTTCTTTGTCAGCATCTTCTACATGTATAGCACCTCTGTTTAAAAACTTGTAGTCATCAACGCGCTAAATCGCTCGCTGTGACTTCCTGTTGTATTCTCACATGGGCTCACTCAGACATTCCAATATTATACTGGTAATATTCTGGAAAATGTCTGGAGCAACTGACTCTGACATTTGTGTTCTCACATGCAGCCCTTTCAGAGTTCAGAGCATGTCTGAAAGATGGTCTAATGGCCGACGTATCTGTGTGTGAGTTTGTTTAAATAAAAGCCTCCTCTCTGTCTCCGTCTTTGACAGAATGAGCTGCTGGCATCTCTGGTCTCCTTGTACACACTTGTTCATAGTGGTCTCTCCACTGCCCCGCAGCCCCCCCCACACCTCACCGCTGGCAAGCTGTCAAAGGTCTGCCCCCACAAGGTACAACCATATTAAAAACTCATTCACCTGTTCATTTAGTCCAAACCAACAACCTCTCTATGTCAAAGCTCAGATTCTGCAGTTATGTAAGGTGTCAAAAACTAAAACAAAAGTTGTCTAAGTCAGATGATATTTAGTTATGTGAAAGAACAACACAAGAGAAATGTCTTGAAAGCTATAAACATGTATACAAATATTTCCACGATGTCAAAACAGAATGGCCACATAACATCATAATTTTAATGGATGATAGTAGAAACTTTTTACAGAGTGAGCCATGGATCCTATTGGAGAGCCACTGGTCTTAGTTATTTAATCCTAAAAATCAGAGATTCCTCTGTGTACATCATCCTCTTCTCTCATATCCCTGTTTCCAGGTGGTGTCTGGCTCTAAGTACTTGGTGAGAGGAGAGACAGCTCGAGATCACGTCGACCTGCTGCTGTCCTCCCGCTACTGGCCCCCAGTCTATGTAAGTGACTGTGCCCGCCAGGTGGCGCTCTGTACAGACATGCAGTATCCAGAACTGGCAACACAGATGTGGGGCAGGAACCAAGGCTGCTTCTGTGACCCCTTTGAAAAGCCAGAGGTGGGTGACATCACTGTAATCCGCTTATCTGTGAAGTGTCTTTAATTTATGCTGAGAAAACGGCTCAATCAGTCATTTTAACCCTAACCCATATATACATATGTATATATTTGTATATATATGTGAGAATATATATATATATTCCTAACCCTATATACATTAGGATCAATTGATTTGATATATTTTTGGTCAGAGGTCAACCTCACAAACCTTTTTGCATCATGAACACGTTCTGAAGAAAGTCTTGAAATAATTCATTCAATTTGTCATAAAGGTTCATTCAGACTCATGGATTAACTGGATATGGGTAGTAGAAGGTCAAGGTGGGCTCACTAAAAATGTTTTTGGCCTCTTGAATATCATATTGCAAGTCTGCCTTCAGGGAATTTCTTAACATTTTTACCAGTTGTCACTTTGAATCGAAGATGAACAGTTTCGTCATGTGACCTCAAATGAGTCTGTGAAAAAATGCAGTTAGACTGAAACTGCAGTGGTTGGCAGACATACACCCCCAGGGTGGTAATTCTAGTTGTCATCTTGTGTTAAAATTATTATGATAAAACATTTTTAAGTCCATGTGTGGAAAATCATTCTAGTATTTCTGCTACATTTAGATCAAAGACTTTGTTTTTATTGCATCCATCTATTTTGAATTTTGAAGGACTGTTTTTCAGTAAACTCTTAGTGTCGATCTCCATCTTCTTTCTCAGTTTGTGTCATGTGCTGAGCTACAGGATCAGCCCTATAGTGCTGACCTGTCCTTGGTCGAGGAGAACCAGCAAGTCCACCCCATCACCAAATCTTCCTCTTGCTGGCTGGTTCACCCTCCTGGAGCAGAGCAGCCCACAGACCCTCCTTCTCCAGAGCACCACGCCATGTCCCTCTGCAGAGACCTGGAGCCTTATGTCAGCGTGGTGGCTGAGCTGGAGAAAGAGAAGGAAGAGGAGGAGGATGAAGATTCAGAAGAGAAGGAACACACAGAGAAAGTGGAGAAAGACTTCATAGAGAAATCAGAGGACTGTTCCACTACAAGCCGTGGGCGGTGGCCACCCGTGGTTTTCAGCAACACAGCCTATTACTACCTGTACAACCGTCTGGTCGATTTCCTTACCAGTAGGGACATCGTGAGCCAGCAGATCAACCAAGTGGTGAAGGCCTGTCAGCCTGGAGAGGTGGTGATCAGGGATGCTCTGTACCGACTGGGAGTAGCACAGATCAACACGGAGAAAGAAGACGAAGAAGAAGGATATGGAACTGAAGCGCAGACACAAGAGGGAGGGATAGAGAAATATGAGGTTGTTCTGCCCGAATAAAAATGTTGAGGAATCCTCAATTCATCCTGGAATGAATGTAAAGATGGCTGCATGTAAAAGAGTTGAGTGCAGAGAAAGGGAGAAACAGCCATGAAGGAAAAGGAGGTGCAATAAGGAGCGAGACAGCGCAAACCCAGAGAGAGAGAGTATTTTTTTAACCTGTGGAACAGTTCACTTCATCAGTTACACTTTAACTGATGTGAGGAACGAGCAGCCTGTCGAGTGGTCAGAGGTGTTAGCTGTGAAGATTAAGACATGCACTCTCAGATTACAGATTACAATCATGTTTTAACCACTGTTACAGCATGTGTGAGAATGTGTTAATATACTGAAGACTGAATGTACAAAACAAGAAATACTGAAATAGATGAACACAAATACACCCTCAGCTCACAGCAGGAAGGTTGCTGGGCCAGATACTGGCTGGAGACTTTCTGTGTGACGTTAGCATGTTCTCCCCGTATCTGTGTGGGGTTTCTCCTGCTTCCTCCCACACATACAGATTGGGGTCAGGTTGATCAGTGACTCTAAAACGACGGTGGTACTTTGATTGAATGGTTGTTTGTCTTAGTGTCCACGCCTTACCCCGCCTCTCGCTGCAACGTCAGCTGGGATTGGCTCCAGCTCCTCCCACGACCCTCAAAGTATTAACATTATAGATAATGGATGAACGCTCACCAAGAATGAAGGTTGAGAAGATCGAAGGACAGTGAGATTCATCAGCAGGATGGTACCAAGGGTTACATGAAGGGAAAGTGATGATTATTTCAGTCCTGAATCAAAGATTTTCTGTGACTGAGAATTGAAACAGGATTTTATTAACTCAGCCATGTGAGTCTAAATGTAAAAATATTTAATCAGGAGCAGTGTGTTTTAATTTAATTTAATAAAAATGTCCAGAGACATTTCTGCTTGGTATTTTACACTCTGACCTCTCACCTGCCACTTGTTGCCTTTGGGAGGGATGTTTGCTTTTGAAAGGTTTTTATTAAACATCTATGTTCTTGTTTATTGTATTGTATCAGAATGTGAGGATGGACCTCGTGGTCTCTTGCTTTATTTCTGATCATCTGTTCAGAGTAGGTCGGTGGTCGATCTCGACAGTAGCTCTCTGGACTCACTGGCTGTGTGCTGATGTTCACGCGCTGGTTGATCTGCTGCATTTCCTTCCATACAAGTCGGATCATGCACGAAGCTCAACACCAGGACTCTTCTGTATGAAGACCTGCGGCTTCCAGTCTGTTGATAACAACCGGAGCCTCGGTCAGAACAGATGAGTGGATTCAGAAAGTGAAACGCAGGAGTGCTTTTACTTTGAAACTTGTTCAGGCAATGTTGTAAATTCGTTCGTGACGCAGACAAAGAAACCTCGTGGTTCACAGCAAAACCAACAGAAAAGGATCTTTCACCTGAGTTTTAAAGTTGATTCCACGAGACTTTTATACAAGGAAATAAACCTCTTTATATACAGTCTATGAAATAAACATATTTATGACCGTGTTAGTCAAAGCCTCTGAAAAAACATCGTGCTGCAGTAGCAGCTCCTCTGCAGAACATACTGTTGAACTGAGAAGCTAAATATTGTGCATGGAACAGATGCTGTAAATATGAATCGATATGAATGTGAATATTGTGCATTGAATAGATAAAGTTACATGACTGCCTTTCTTTGTGTTTTTTTATGCTCGTAAGTTGAGATCGGCTTAAGTTTGGAATTAAAAATTGATCTTGGCCTTCAAGAGGTTGGTGACCACTGGTGTAGATCCATTCAAGGACAGTTGGAGAATAGACTGAAGACGTGTAGTGGACCTGTCATCGTGAAATGCTTTAGAAATGAAATTCATTAGTCTTTTTGTTGGAATTGGTCACTAATGCTTTGCTAACGAGGTTTTATCAGAGCATTGATGCTGCTCGGTCAGTTTTGATGATTTTTCTACTGAATAAATCATTCAAGGCCTCAGGTGTTTAATAGAGACACACCTGGCTTCAAAGAAACCACAGCACAACTTTTGTGACGATAAAGAAAGACTGAAATGGCTTCACCATTGAAAGCTGCAGATGCTACAAATAAAGAAATGAATGGCGTCCAATCTAATTTCATACAAATCATTGTCTTATTTACTGTAACTTACACTTGAAGCTTCGAGTAGCATTTGAAAATAGGGTGAGTAACATTCCTTTGATAAAACAATGAAGGGTTTTAAAACTTTAAGATACAAACACACTTTAATAACTAGTCCGAGACACAATGTCATGTGGGCCACAAGCCTAACAGCTATAAGCATGTTTTTTACTTCGCCACAATCACTATAGTTCCAGCATCAGTCGTATGATGAGAGGCTTCAAATGTCACACATGTCATGGTTGTCTCGAGCGTCGCAGAGCGGAAAAAGCTGCAGATTGTGTAAAGAGGAGATTAGGCTGCTTCTCTTAACCCCTGATGTTAACTTGAGACAGAGAAACCTCTGACACACACGAGGTTTTCTACATTGACGGAGACGCTTGTCGCTTGTGCCCTCCATCTTATAGAAAATGTTTCTGTTGAATCAAATAGTAACTTGCATCATTAATTACCTTTATCTTCTTCAGGCTAATGAGATTGTACATGTAGAGATACACATTTAAAACCAGGTCCTTTTATATTTTATGATCTTATGTTTCTTCTATAAGATTCTAAGCACCAAATTGCCGTTAATTGCAAAGTCATCAGGATTGTGGATTAACAGACTGGCTGGAGGATATTTATCACAATAAATGTCATATTATTATTTCTTTGAAGTTTAAAGACTGATTTCTGCTCCTGGGTGAAGCTTGTGGTTTAAACTCTTCTTTATGAGCAGAGAAAGACAAATGCTTGATAAGCAGCGAAACATTTCGCAAACCTGAGCGAAATCAGTTATGTGTTTGCTCAATGCATAAGAATTATATTACTTTATAATAGACTTTTGTAATATTACTATTGATGACAACTGATTGATAATTATTGCCTCCGTCAAGGAGGTTGTGTTTTTGTCTGTGTTTGTTTGTTAGCAGGATTATGCAAAAAATATTCAACCAATTTTGTGGAGGGATGTGGCATGACCCAAGGATGAACTCCAAAAAAATGTGGTGGGGGTCAGTAATTTTTAATACACTCTGTGAGAAAAGGTGTTTCTCAACACTTTTTGTTGATCTCTCAGAGAATAGTTCATGGATCTTGATTTAAAACATGCATGTTTAGGGGAATGATATTTACGAGTGTGTGCAATTTGGTGCAGATCCAAATAAATGTCCAGATCTAGTGAATTTAAATGTGGTTTCATGCGGGGGTTGTTGGGCCTAGGTGGAGGTATGTGCTCTATTGAGTGACACCCTAGTTATATTGTTTTATTGGCCTAAACTGACTCAGACGACATTGACTCGGTTAAGTTTCAAAGAGAAACAGTTTTTGATACTTGTTTTGTTTGCAATATGAAGCATCACATGACCTCAGTCTTGGTTTGTTTGTTTATTCACAGCTAATAAGTCTTTATATTTACTCAACATAAGAATGAACCATGGCTTGAATTGACTCCATCCGTTTAACAGTTTATACAACTATAAAACACTGTTAAACTTTTCATTTATTGTACAGTGGAATAAAAGTGGTATCAAAAGTCTCATTAAGGAGAAGCATAGAGACTAAGTCCTGAATGTTTGTGCTGCTCAAATTAAAATTACCTGATGATTTTGGGACAAACAGTGATGAGATTTTTAGATAGGGGGTCTTTCACAAGGTGTATAGAGGGACAAAGAGCGACAAAGACTCAGTAATACCTGTGAAAAGACACACTGAAGACAATTTACCTCAGAAAAGAATAAAGAATAAGAGTTCTGTGAGTGGAAAGCTGAACCAGACATGAGGAGGAGAAGCATTTTGACTTGATGGGTCAAACACTTCCCCTGAAAGATTTCAGAGTTGTGCAATGCTGACAGATAGTGTGGGAAATGTCCCAGATGAAATGCAGTCTGGACATTATCCAATGAAAATAGGAAGTGAGGAGAGAAGGTCACTCCGCGTCTATCGGCACATTTGTGTAACACAAAGAAAACTACAATAAGCGTTTGACATACAGGACATACTGTTGCAGTAAACTTCAATGGTAAAGCTTTATTCAACACCTCTGCAGTTTTTCGGTTATTTTAAAACACACAAAACACACACAACACATACAGCATATGAAATATTGACGCACTACTATCTACTCCACAATGTCTCGGTGAAAATAAAGACAACTCTTGATTTACATCATGAGATATATACATTATCAGGCGAGTCACTCGTGCTGCATTCAGGTGCGAGCACACTTGAAATGTCTGTATCTCTCACATAGCTTATATACTACTCTCAAAACTTTCATACAGATGGCAGTGAAGGCTGACCGCTACACATAGACATCAGTGAAGCTTAACACTCTTCTAACTTTACAGGAAATGAGAAGATTAAGTTGTGCCACACACATAATAATAATAATGATAATGATCATAATAATAATTATAACGTTCACATTTTCAGACATGAAACATAGTTCATCTGATCCATCGTGGATCCACAGATTTCCCTGCTCAGTTCAGTCTTAACACTGGTTAATTAATTAGACTGAAGTGGAACAATCACATGTTGCCACCAACTGACAGCTACTGTAAGTGTGTCACAAGAAATACAGCTCTGATCAAAGCGTAAAGAGGAAAACAACATGGCCATTCTTTGCCTTCTCCATGGCTGATTTGGCACGCTTCAACCAGGGGAGGGAGAAACACTTGCACTGTTCAGATGTTCAATTAAGGTGATTGGGGAATAAAATCTGGTTCGTCTGCACCACATGAAAACGTGGTGCCTCAGCTTCTACCACCTCTTCTGTTCAATGGCTCCAGTGTTCGCGACTGTCTAGCTGCTTCCACTGAGAAACCGTACATGCGATAAAACGATGAAAAGGAAGTGAAGCTGCTGACTAAAGTGACTGTACTGGAACAACTCATGTACTCTCAAGGGCAGTAGTAAACAAATAGTGATAAACATGGTGTACAATGTTGAATTAAGAATACAGAAGAAAGCACAAATTGTCTCCTTGATTATGCTGAAAATACATCGCAGAGGGAATAATAAACAGTCTGTGAGGGCGTAGCATTTTGGGTAAGGCACTGCTGGGGATGCTTGTGTGGTTTTGTTGACATGTTTCCTGCTTTCCTGTCTGCAGTCGGTGTGAGACGTGGCAATTTCTAGTCATGGTCTGCAAAGAAGCAAGTCACATGCTCGCTGCAGCTGCTTGTCTGTCTGGCGCACAGGCACAAACAGCAGAAAATAGCTGTGGAGGCGACTTTGTGCAACCGTCCAGCAGCTGGAACAAGCTGTGGTGCTGGGGCCACAGACTACAGCTTATTCCATTCTCCTGAAGGCTTGTCGTCGATGAGCGATTGATTCGGGTGAGTGCTTGGTGGTGGTCCGGGGCCGGGCTCAACAGAACTGGTAGTTGTTGGTCTTCATCAGAGGCTGCTCCTCTTCCTCATGGTCACAAGACTGGTCACAGGGGCCGTTACAGCACTTGGACTCGTCACACACTTCACCCTCTGTGACCTGCTGCTGAACATTCTGGTAGATTAGCTGTGGAGAGGCATCATTAAGACGGTGAGAGTCGATAAGGAAAAGGCCAAATATCGTCATCATCTAAATATGATGGTGTTACAAGTTTACAAAGTCCTGCATTCAAACTGCACCAGCAGCTTTTTTGTGTTTATTAACACCCAAACATGTTTAATCCCAAAAAAATCCAATTCATTTAATGCGGCTAAAACTGTCGCCTTTTGGGGAGAGTTAAGTTTTAAGAAGCTGGGTTTCCTGAGGACAAACCAAACTCTCACTCACTCACCTGCTCCTGCTCAGGCTGGTCCCCAAGTAGCCTCTCTATCATCTGACTGATCTTGCTGAATGTGGGGCGCTCTGTGGGCTCCAGGTGCCAGCACATCTTCATGATCACGTAGCTGAAACACAAGCAGAACCGACTTTAAGAGGCAAATTCACAGCACAAAACACTGTGATGTTATACTATACACGTTTTATTGCCGAGGCCATGATGCACTTGATTTCCACGGCAAACTGCTCAGCTTTTGCAGAGAAATTGAGCAACAGCATGAAGCAGAATTAGACAAATAAATAAGGGGGGGGCTCATGGAGGCGGTGACGCAGTTTTATAAGAGAGCCTCGTTCATAAGAGCCCCTGCCCCTCCAGTCTCATTTTGCTGCCGTGAAATAGCAGTTACATGGCTCCCTAGCTTCGAGATCATGTGGCTAACAGGCAGAACTGAGGCCTGACTCACAGGAGAACAACAGATGATTAGGCCCTGACTCAGATTCAGTCCCCTCGGTTTCCACTGCACCAGTTATTCCGGGTGGTGTGACAGACATGCCAAATCAGCGCACACAGATGTGAGGGCCCTCTGATACTGGGAAAAACACTCCCTTTATTTTCTCATCTCGGCCACTTGATAAGTTCGGAGTCTGAGGCTTGTTAAATTTGGAGTTTTGGTTTTTAGATCAGGTATAATGGAGGCACTTCATGACTTTACCTCATTTGTCATTTATTTGAGATGTTGGATGAGGGAGGCAGACAAAAAGAGAAGAGGGTCTTTGTTCCGTTATAATGAATGTTTGGGAATCATGCTGTTTGAGCTGTGGAGCCAACTTAGGATGAACAATTTATTTTTATGAATCAGTCTTTGTTGGTGCTTATTCCAACTTCATGTTTCCTCTCAATCTGATAAAATCTTTTCAAATGGATTCACCTGATTTGATATGACGAGAAGCTTTATAAGATAAGACATTAACGTTGACTGGCTTCGTGTTGCTGGAGCGTTGAACTCACATTTCAGGTGGGGCAAAGTCTGGTTGGCACATCTGGTAGCCACGCTTCACCATCTTGTAGAACCTGGAGTCCACTGCCATGCTGGGGTACGGGCTCTGGCCTAATAGAGAAGACGCACTAATTTTTGTGAAAAAATCGCAAAGTGAATGTGTGTGTATGTTTATGTGGCGTATGTGTTTGAGTTCTGACCTAAAGAGAAGATTTCCCACAGGAGGATGCCATAGGACCACACATCGCTCTGCACCGTGTACACACAGTCGAAAATACT